TTTAAAAAACAAATATTTATTTGTTTACAGATAATTTTCAAAATGTATGAACAAAATTACAAGATTTTAATATTTAACCAAGAGATTTATTGGCATTAAATTATTTCATATTAATAAATCTAATGATTTTGTTTATAACTAAAAAATTAAAGCAAATAAAAATTTCTTTCCATTTTATAATTAGCATTGTGTTGAATAAAAGCTAATTTTCCTCTAGTATTGTATTTAAAAAGTATTACAAAATTATGTATTAATCGTTTGTCCCAATTATGACAAATGTATTACTTTTCTTCCGTCAGCGAAAGTGTGAGAAAATTTAATTCAATTAATTGTGAATTATTGAGTAGTTTCTCATAATTTATTCATAATGAATATTAATTATTAAATAACTTGTCATATACATTTCATGAAACATTCGTTTCAATTAGTGGCACAATATAATACTTTAGTTGACATACAAGTGATATTTAGACATGTTTTGAATATAGCTCTCATTTAAGTGCCCAAATTGTTTCGTGATATCAATAATATAGTGTTCACTCAAAAGACAGTTATTATATTGTGTATGACTTTTAAAATCAAAAGTCCGTGAAATTTATGTAAACCAAGAAACTTATTTGAAAGTTCAGTTCCGACTTTTGCTTTGTTGACCAAACAATCACTTTTTCAGATTCAATGAAATTTAAATTGCTTTTCATGTGGTTTTAATATCTCAGCAGTAGTTCTATTGTTATTAATTTATTCAAACTTTATTGCTTTCCTTAAAGAAGTTTTAATCAATTTTAATCCTTGAAAACGAGAGACCAATTTTGTTATTTATAAACAAAATCACAGTTTGAAACCTTGGAAATAACGCAAACATACACAGATTACAGTGAATAACACATACAAAAAAATATTGATATTTTGGTCACTAATTTATACACGTAAATAAAATAATTTATTATAACACAAATTAAAAAGTCGCGTCTACTCGCGAAAACTCAATTTTGTTTTAAACTAAAAATAACTATGAAAATATAACTATGAAAGTATGTATCATAACATGTCTATTTTGAAAACATTAGATATTTACTTGATACAGGTATCTTAAATTTTTTAGAAATAGTGGTACATATGTTAGAAAGTTGTGGAACGCCTCTGTAACTAACCCTCAGATAAGACCCTAATTTATCGACTTCTCATGACTTCATTAAGTTTTTAGTAATCAAAAGTTAGTTAAATATTATGTAACTCAATCAGACTATTAGCAACTAAAGAGTGAATTTTAAAACTTTAAATTTGTTTGATCGCATTGAACATTGAATCGAAACATTAGAAAAGGTCTTAATATTAGCCGTAATATAAGAGATGGACATAAATACGGATGAATTCAATCGTGTAAACTATGCACACCTTCGAGACGCTAATAATCTCATCGACAGAATAATCGATGAAAGCGGAGAGAAGTGAGACTTTGATATGATTTTTCTTTATTAACTTTGACTATACTTTGACAAAAGCTTAATTAGAAATGAATTTATAAAAACAATTAACGGATATTGAAAATTAGATACGGACTGGTACTGGACGTTGGGTGCGGCAGTGGCAATGTGACCGCACTATTGAATCAGAGGATATCATGTGACAAATTGGTTGGACTAGACATAGACATGCGAATGATTAAGTTTGCTAAGACTAACTATAACTCACCGAAAGTCAGTTATGTTGTCCAAGATATTAGTGCCGAATGGCATCAATTGGATCCAACTCTAAAGGAATTGGAGGGAAAAGTGTCTCTAATATTCTCGAATCGAGTCCTTCATTGGATTGAGAACAAGACAACTGCCACTAAAAATTTGTATCGACTTCTGGCGCCAAATGGAAAGTTGTACACAAATATCACTACTCTTTGGGATCTGTTTGACGATTTGGTGTCCAATGAGAAGACAGAGATTGAGAAACTGATCAAGATCCCCTCAAAAGACGAACAAATTGCCAACTGGAGGACAGCCTTCGCTGAATCTGGATTTAAAGATATTGACATTGAATTCTCGGTTCTCCGACAGCTATACCCGAGCGATCAGTTCAAGAATAGTATGTTTAGTAGTGTTTACTAAACTTAACTAGTAACTTTACTGTGGTATTAATGAATGAAATTTTGTGTATTTTTAGTTCTTTTGCCATATTTTCCAAATTTGACGAAAAAATATTTGATAGAAAAGGATCCGATCAAAAGAAATGAAATCATGTCCTCTGGTTTCAGAGACACAGTGCGGGCGGCAATCTTAAGACATCACTGCAGAGAACTGCCCATCGGTTCCGATGGTAACGCTATGATTGAACTAAACTACGGTCAGTGCAGAGTCATTGCCCACAACTGATTCAACACATCTCTTATGTATTTTACTTTTTTTATTATCAAGAATCTTAAAATAAAATAAAATGCTTTTATTTTACATACAGTAACAGTAAATTAATTTAATTTTGGTGACCATATTAAATTATACATTGAATTATTTTTTGTTTATTTTTTAGCTTATTAATTAAAATAATTATGGAGTTGGAAAATTTTAATACTGTACTTTGTACTGTATGTCTGTACAGTAGTTATGATATTCGTGATTATTAAAACAATTTGTAAATTGCAAATACAGTATTTATTAAACAAATTTAAGTTCAAAACTAAACAAAATTAAACATGTTAAGTTTAAAGTACAAATACTAGAGTGAGAGAGTAGGTTTGGGAACAGATCACTGAATAAACATTCAATCATTTGATTCAGAAAACAAATTTTGCACATTTAATAAACAAGTCTTTTTTGCTGTAGCTATAGCATAGACTCTGTATTCATTAAGTTGTTATCATTAAATGAATAATCGATAAACTTATCTAATCGTCAATTAGTAATTGATTTGATTGTTTTGACTAAAAATTTACTATTTGTCTATTATACTAGTAACTGTTAACAAAATATTAAACATTGATATAAATGAATACAAAGTGAACAATTGATTGAACATTTTGTGGTTATTATATGAATTGAGTTGACACTTTCAAACAATGATCAGGGCGATTCTTGTGTTCAATCATAAAGGGAAACCGCGACTAACCAAATTCTATGAACATTATGTAAATGAATGAAATATTATTAAATTTATTCATTGATTGTATAAATGAATTGAATTGACGTGACATAGGCTGAAGACGAACAGCAGTTGATTATTAGAGAAACTTTTCAATTGGTTTCCAGTCGTGACGATAGGATCTGTAATTTCCTTCACGCGGGGATGTAATACACTGTCGACTCTCAAGACATTTATAAACCATTTATAATTTTTTATAATTACTGATAGACTGGTCGGTGGATCCGATTTTAAGCTTATTTATAGACATTACGCGACTCTTTATTTTGTGATCTGTGCGGACACGGCTGAGAGTGAACTCGGAATCCTTGATTTAATTCAAGTATTTATAATAGCCTGGTTAAAATTAAATCATAAATTAAATTGTAAATAGATTTTTGTTGAGGCGCTGGACAAATGTTTTGACACCGTTTGCGAGTTAGATCTCATTTTCAACACTGACAAGGTAATCCATATTGTGTACTTAAACATCATTAGTTCATTAAATACAGACTTCATAATATTTCACATACTGAGAGTTAATTTGTAAATGGTTTACATTTTGATTGACAGGTGCATAGCATACTGAATGAGATAGTGATGGGAGGTTTGGTTCTCGAGACTAATCTACAGGAGATTCTGCATCGGATTGACGAACAGACAAAACTTGAGAAACAAATGGTTCGTTCATTCATTGATACCGAGTCTATGATTGCTATTTGAATGGATTCTTAAATGTCCACCTTAACATAATACACATTTGCATTCAAATTAAAATTTTAAATTGTCTAATTTTGATTATTTTTTACCTAAATGATGTCATATTAATTTTAGTTTTAGATAATTAATAAATCACAGAATTATCTCAATACTGGTATTTCAAATGGCATTCATTGATATAAAAATCAAATTGATTTCATGACCGCAATGTTTCTTATAATGAAAAATAAATTCATTTTATTAGAGCAACAAAATTGCAGATTTACCTGAAGTTCACTGCCTATCATTTAAACCATTTATATTATATAAATAAAATATTATCAAGAATTGAGGCATTTATTGGTTTTGTCTTACAGGAGGGCCTTAAAGGGGCGCCCATTCGAGCGGCAAATATAGTGAAAACAAAAGTCAATCTTTCGGGACATTTAATGGATATTAAAAAGCGAGTGAAAGACAATTTATAAATCACACATTGATCTGTTATTTATTTCAGTTTTCAAATCAACTCAATAAATAATTTACAATTTAATAATTGAATCCAAAATATAACAAAATAAAATATAATTATTGTATTTTTCATTAAATTGAGACATTCGTTAAAAGCCTAAATAATTCATTAATATATAAATAATTAACATAAAAGTTATGAAAAAAGCGGCCGAACCCAGGAATCCAAGCGATGCTAAGGGAAAGACATTGAAATTAGTTCTACCCGACAGTCACATTAGTTGAATGTATACCTCGTTTGGGAATCTGATGGACAACAATGTGGTTATCAACAGAAACGCTGACCAAAGAGGCGTCGTTACCGCCAGTCAGCTGTTGTGCGGCCACCGAAGACTTGAGGAATTCCACTCCCGTCACGAAGATGTTATGCGCTGCAGACAAGTGGTATACCCGTTGCAGACTGAATGCAATGTACACGTCCACAGAGCCCGTCAGAGTTCCCAATCCTACGTAATGGCCCTCTTCACTGATTATACAATTATATAATACCATTAAAACACTTTTTTAACAAATGGTTTGCAGAGACATACCTGACAGCCATAGTCGAGAGACTTTCAAAGCCGGTGCTGACCATCTTTTCGGGTTTATATGTCTGAGTATTCCATTTGCAGATATAGGAACTTTTGGGTGGCTTTTGGTTCACCAGTGGATTCATTATTGTAAATAATTTAATATTGTTTAAATCACCTGAAATGTAAGACACACGTTTACATTACATGTAAAAAGTTGTGTAAAAAGTTAGATCAAGTTGTGGCCATACCGTCGACTGTGGTATAACGACATCCCCTATAAATGTATTTATTATTTATAATTCCGTTTCTATTATTATTGTTGTTTTGATTATGATTTTGTTGTTTCTGAGCGACGGGTAACTCATACTTGAGTTCAGTCTTAAGACTTCCATCGTTGGTATTCCATACAAAACCCTTTGAATCGCGAGAAACGCTCACTATTTGTGTTCCGTTGCCATTGATATCCAAGTCGTCCACTTCGTTGTCGTGCGCTTTGATCGATAGGATTTGGTCCAACTTCGGCAGTGACCACAACCTTATGTGTCCATCAGATCCAGCGGTGATCAGCACATTGGCCTCAACCGAGAATTTCACGATCTTTTGAAAGGATTCGTCAGAATTAAAGTCCGTTTTAAACATCTTTTGCTGTTTTATGTCGAAAGTGAAGTCCGGGACACCATTCGTGTCGTCCGTCATCTTAGGCTTCGAGTCTTTACGCGAGTGTTGTTTCACTGGTTCCGGCGCTTCTGGTGACTGACTATTGGCTAAGTTTATATCGTTCTCCTTCTCTATGGACTCAGATCTGGAACTAAGTCTTCGTCGCCTAAGACTAGTCTCGGAGAAAGTTCTCTCTCTTCTGGTGGGCGACGAAGAACTCTCGCGACGCTTACTCTCGACGTTCAGCTTCAGGTCGTATTGAGTGCACATCCCATCCATTCCTCCGCAGAACAATTGGTAGCAGTAATTGCTTTTGTCGACGACACACATGTTCATCACCGCTCGCGAACCTAACCATCAATAGGTCATCAAATAGATCATGAGATCATTGACACATTAGGACGAGTGGTAAGCAAAGACAAACCGGTGTCGTAGTGAGTGATTAGTCTGGCTTTGCACGAGTTGGTGGACTTGTCGTAGACCAGCTCATAGACCTCGAGGGTGTTGGCGATGCCAGTCTTAGCGGGTCCGCCACCACCGGCCACCAGAATGTGCCGCTCAGACAATGTCCGCACGCAATACATGGGGTAATTGACCCTGGCCAGTAGGTGACTCCACTCAGACATCCTCTGACACTTCCACAACCACTTAAGGACTAACAGATGCAGACAATTATCCTCACAAATGGCTAAATGTCTGCAATTTATTGATCCGATTATGAAGTGATTATTAACTTTGAAAGACACGTCAGTTTGTATCCATTGGTTGCTATGGTTTCATAAACTCTCACAACAATCACGGCTTTCACTGAAATGCTCTCATTTTGCAGTCATTTTCATGTCATTTGTTTGCAATTAGTTTTAATTCACTATTAATGCTATATTTGTGACAAACAGTCGTATAATTAGATGACATTTATTCATGAATTCAATGATCAAACAAATGGTCATATCTTAGGACACATTTATGCACAACAATTGAATATAAAAATACATTTGAAATATATTTAAGACAATTAACGTTCAATTACAAACACTTATGCATTCACTGGACTCACAAGTCTTAACCAATCAATGACTTCGATGTCTAATATCTATGATAAGGTCTTTGGTTGTAATCGGGTCTACGGTTGTGATCATATGAGTTGCGGTACGAGTGGCTACCTCTTCCTCCACCACCTCCTCCTCTGCCATATCCGCCAAACCTATCATTACTTCGAAATCGATCTCTATTTCTATTTTTGCCGAAATATCCCCAAAGAATGGGTGGTCTAAGAGCTGGTCTATCCATACAGTCCTTGTATTCTTGGTCTTCCTCTGTATACCTGTTGTCGTATTTCTCTTCAAATCTCTTTACGTCATCATCGATGTGACAGTCATCCGGTTCGTTGTGGTCATCATCTCGATGTCGTTTCCCACTCTTATCATCACTAGTGGTGTCCGAAGAGTGCGACAGATCTGATGGATCTGATGCCGAGTCCAGCGATCGCTTCTTAGCCGACATTTCTGCCAAAACAGGCATTAATTACGTCAACACAACAACAATGTGTCTCTCATTTGATCCAAACTTTTCTCAAAACAATTAAAGTTTTATTTAATTTCAAGTAAAACTCAATTCATTTCATTTGAAATGAAAGCAAAACTTTATTTGAACTCAAAATATAGTAAAAGTGATAATTGATTGCAATTGTAGTGATTGCGGACCCATTGGATCAATTGGTTTGACTACTTCTGCTGTTGCCTTCAAATTGACTCAATTTGATGTCCAATAATCTGATGGAAGCGATGGACAGGATAACTGTTGCCAAACATGAGCTGCCAATGAGTGACCACTTATTCATGGACTGTCTTCCAGAGTAAGTCTTGTAGAGTACATAAGAGCCGAGAAAACCCATTCCTCCGCCGCCTATGAGTCGACACGCGAGGCAGTCCTCTTTGGCCGCACCGGTAGTGTCGGTGGCCGTCGTGTTGGGCTTATGTAGTATTCGGTCCAACATTTGCTAATAAAGGGTTTGGGTTTGGGTTTGGGTTTGGGTTTGGATTTGTTGTCCAATAGTTTTGTTGACACTTAAGCACGTGTTGGACACCAACACATACACAGTCACTGACTATGAATGCAATAACGATATAATTTAGTAATACTGCAAACAATACAATCACTGTTTGTATTACAAACTTTGTATACACTATTCAATGGTACACTTCACTAATGAATGAACTGTTGAACACCAATAACAGTGTTATGTAATAACACATCACATGTTTGTGTTGATGACTGATTCAATGCATGCAATCATTACACGATAGTCTATAGACTAGCGTTAGTGTCAAAGTGGTGTCCTATGAAAGTGTAGTACAGTTGGCCCACAAGTGTTAACACTGTCAGGATGGCCGAGCGGTCTAAGGCGCCAGACTCAAGGGATATGCCCTTCACTTGTATAGCAAGTGCGCTGAGCGTTCTGGTCCACGAATGTGGGCGTGGGTTCGAATCCCACTTCTGACACATACTTTTTGCTCACACTTGCCTTGATCACTTCTCATTTTTTAAATTTAACTAATTTTTACTTTACTTACCATAAGACTAAACTAGTATAATGGTATAGCGTGGCTAATTGTGGCTCAATTTATACATATACTTTTTGCTCACACTTGCCTTGATCACTTCTCATTTTTTAAATTTAACTAATTTTTACTTTACTTACCATAAGACTAAACTAGTATAATGGTATAGCGTGGCTAATTGTGGCTCAATTTATACACAATGTATAACTTAAATGCGATAGAAATAATTTATTATATTTATACATTTCTAAATTCAAACATTTGTTAAAAATATCAGTTATTTAACCATTTAAAATTAATAATTAATATAAAACTAGTATCGGGGTAGAATTATTGCAATAAATAGTAGTACCGTACCGTATATTTAAGAGATTTGTTTGCTTTGGTTATAGCAACACATTGTATGAAAGCATCAAATTTTGTGAAAAGGTTTTGTTTGTTTAGTTAACTTCAAAAAATATCTATATTTGACTGGATTTTCACATGAAATAGTGATTTCTATGTATTAATTGATATATTTGTTTGCTTTGATGATTGGAATCATAAATAAAAAACAAAACTATTTACAAAAAAACATTAAATTTAAAAACTAAACTAAAATCACAATTAATCAACAGATTTGTCGTAAATATATAATTCTTGTGACATAAAGGCATTGAACGCTATATTCCGGAGGGTTTGGAGCGCGTGGTGTCGTAGACGCGGATAAGTGTGGACTGCGGGACAGCTCCGTGTTCCTCCTGCGAGAAGGCGTACCCGTGTTGGAGGTCGAGCTCCACCTCCTGGCGATGTCGGCGGCGAACATCTTTGGATTTGTCACGTTTCACATGAAACACGTTTTTGAAGAGTCGCGCCGTCTCTAAGAGCATCGACTGTTGCGACGGACTGTTCGCTAACTCCATTTCCATGATCTCATCCGTCAGTGTCTTGAAACAGGTGCGCGATATTAGCTTATAGGAGATATCGACGAGTAGAGCACTCAATGGAATGATTCCGATGCCGAACCAGAAGACGCCGGACGAGAAGATCATTTGATCGATTCCACACATGTCGGCGCCCACGAAGTGAAAGAGTCCCCAAAAGCGAGAGTAGATCATGAGATACACGAACCACATGACGATCGACCCCCAGATGGCCGCGTGTGTGACCCACGTCCACGCGTTGATCTCAAGACCCGCTTTCAGACAAACGGTGATCACAGTATAAGTGAATAACATATTGCCTGAAATGCACACAATATTCACATTTTAGACACATTTCAAACAAGTAATGAATGGATTGTATTGCGAAAGACTAACCGAACACCAAATACCCGCCGTCAGCCCTCCCGTGTTGCCAAAGGGTGTCGTTATTAACCGAGAAATAGGTTAACCAAAAGAGTAACAACGAGTGCCAAACCCCCGACAAAATCCAAGTCCAGAACAGCTTCACATTAAAGAGGTCTGAATGGGTTTTATAGAGCGCCGGGTATTTCATCATTGTTTCGGCCGAACACTGTCTGTCAAAGAGTCCGATAACCATCGGCGGTGCGGCTGTGAATATGACGTTATAAAGACTGAGAGACCATCTCTCGAAGGCTGCCTGTCCTGACCAGGCAGACACCGACGCAAACCAGAGCTCCAGTATATAGAGAGCAATGTTTTTGTAGAAGGAGTAGAGAATTAATTTGCATAATCGGGACAAAGACCACGAGCCGTGGACTAACAACAGGCGCGACAGGAATCTGAACTGTGCTATCGCGTAGTCCGATGAATGCACCGCTTGTAGGCCTTGTAGAAGGAGTAGAGAATTAATTTGCATAATCGGGACAAAGACCACGAGCCGTGGACTAACAACAGGCGCGACAGGAATCTGAACTGTGCTATCGCGTAGTCCGATGAATGCACCGCTTGTAGGCCTTCCAGTCCTGATATGCCCACCCCAACATTGGCCGCTCTAATCATTGCCACGTCATTGGCTCCGTCACCGATGGCCAGTGTTATGGAACGGGTGGTCTTCTTGACGGCCTCAACAATCTCTGCTTTCTGTGCGGGCGATACGCGACAACATATGACTGATTTGCACTTTAATGCCATTTCCATGAATGAAGAGCTCAATTCTGAAGTCATCGCAAAATTCAATGTCTTTCCTATAATTTAATTACAATTAAACATTCATTTGTTTTCCAATAGTTTAACAGTGAATACCGTCGACAATAAGAGCCACTTCTCGTTGTGTAGATCTGATCTGATTCTGTGCTTCAGTGATCGACTCACGAGTGTTGTCCAGTGAGTCGTCATCGATGACAACGTGAAGCATTCCTGTCTGTAATAGTTTACAGCTGTGGCCGATATTAATAGCCGTTTCCTGTTTATCTCCCGTCAGAACCCATATATGTATTCCTGCTTTGAGTAACGTGTCGATAGTGTCGGGCACATCGTCTTGGAGTTTGTCCTCAATAGCTGTCGAACCGATTAGTTTGAGATTAGCCTCTACTTTGGACATCATCTCATTGATATAGTCGTCACGACTCATCCCATTGGGTCCCGTTTCCATAGTCTGTGCCTCAATATATCTGTGAATAAAGCAATGATTGTAACAAACATTTCACAACTCAATTGCCGCTACTTTTTATTCCACTCTTGATATATGTTGTCTTCGATGTCCACAACAGCACAACAAAGGGTTCGGAGGCCTTCGGTGGCAAAGTTTGACAGATGCTGTTCAGTCACGTCTCCGAACTCCTGTAGCGATGATTCTGACAATCGGTCGTAAATCATAGAATCGGCGCCTTTTATATAAAGTTTGATCTTTCCTTCGGGTGTCCGCACTATTGTTGACATCCTTTTGCGGTCAGACGTGAAGTCCAGAACATTCAATATTTCATACTTTTCTACAGTTCCCAAAGCATTAATAAAAACACATTCAGGAGTTCTGGCCGTGAATTCAAAGCCTATATTTTGTGCGCCGCGAACCAGAGCCGCCTCATCAGGACTGGCGCCTTGATATCGGATCGTTGGCTTTCCCTCTGGAGTCATCTCATTATTGTCCACTTCGGGCACAACTGTCTGACAGACAGATAATAGAGTCAAGAATTCTCTGATATAATTAGACTCCGATTGATTGGAATTCATAATTTGAATCATTTTTGGGAAGTCATGTTCAGTGAACACGAGGCCAGCGATTGAACACTTTTTAAACTCCATTACATTTCGAGTTAGAGTTCCTGTTTTGTCCGACAATATGTATTTCACCTGATATTAGGAAACATATCAATCATTATCTATCTGTGAATTGAAGTGCAACTCAAATATAAGTGCAATACTTGTCCCAATTCCTCGTTCAAGTTGGAGGTGCGGGCCATGGCTGGGGTGTCCTTCTCCTCGCAGTACATCTCGATGTCTGCGTTGATAAACGACGCCTGAATGAAGCGAACCATTTCGAGGGTCACTTGCAGTGAAATAGGGATCAAATTGTTGTACAGAATAATGAATGTCAACAAAACGAAGAAGTAATTCGACGACAGGGCGTCCTCGAGTCCATCCAAATACCAGTGCTCTTTGTTTTGCTTCTTCCATATGTAGGACGCGGTCGCAGATATGACACAAATCACTAAAAGTATGGCAAACAAGAGAATCGTCTGTTTGTTAGTGATCTTCTCGACGTTTGATCTCTTGATGGGCGCGCGAACCGATGAGTTCATCATGAGTTTGCTCTCGTGTCCGGTGTAGAGGACGCACCCGAAGATCCAATTAGTGTTGCGAAGTTTGGCCCCACGAAGCACTACATTCTCGGGTCCCATGGGATGCACCGAATCGCCTAACTTGAGGTTCCCATGAAATTCGTATAAATGTCTATTCGGTTGATCGCATTGTATGGACGATAGGGACAACTCGGACACCAACTGTTCGCTACTAAGACAATGAGTGGTCACTTTGAGGGCGTGCCTGATCTTCAAGTTGGTCTCTCCATCGAGATTCGCGGTCTCGATATAACACATACCTAACAGTCAGACAATGCATACATTAATGACAACTCGCGACAAGACATCACACGAATGGGTGACAAACCGTTGGGCTCTGAAGAGGTCAACAGGAAGAGATCGCTGGGAAAGAACTGGTCGTTCGTGATCTTAACCATATCTCCCACTCGGATCTGTTGCCAGTACTTCCACTCCCACTGAGAGGTGAATTTGTTGAGCACCAGCACCAGAGTGGTGTTGACGCCTCTGTCAGCTTTGTGTCTCTTAATGTCTTCGAAGATCTCTTTGATGGCCGACACCATGAGTATGAAGATGAGCGGCAAAGCGGTGGTGTATTTGCCGGTCGGCGACACGTTCGGGATCTGTTGCATGAGTGCTATGAACAGGAAGAAGATGTTTGAGTAGCGGTGGAACTGCTCGAACAGGAACTTCGGCACAAATGTCAGCACATTATACTTGGCGGTAGTGATGGCATTGTCGCAGAAGTGCTGATGAGTGCCAATCATATAGATCAACCTCTTGGGCTGGTTGTGGCCATCGTTCACAGCCGTGGAACTGCTCTCTTCTCCAAGACGTTCCATCGCTAACGTGTCGCTCATTGGTTCCACTGATCGCCAGATAATCGATTAGCTGTCACTCCAGTGGCCATCATATCTGTGGATCAGTTGTTATCGTATCTGTCAATGGATTCACTGCACAGTTGTGTCTCAAATAGCAATCAATTGCTGTATAAACACAACTAATATAACAACTATTACTCAACACTACTGTATGTCTCATACTATGACTGATACACAGGTTTCACTGCATTTCCTATGTATTACACGCTATGTCTCACTCCTATGCAAACCAATACTACATCACGTGATATGTGATTGTCTTTCGTGTCTAATATTCACTACATTTGACGGTCTCTGCGGTTGCACTTCATTTGTCCCTATCTTTCACTATTGTCTCACTAATTGCTGCATTAGTATGACATGTATTCATACATCTAAACACTTGCCAACCCTTTTAGCAAACTTAATACACCATTAGATTATATAATGTCATAATTGTATGAAATAAGCCCAATGTAGGCGTGTATGGGAAGGAAAAGACTATATTAGCA